GAGGGTCATTCTGCACAAATTCTCCTAAACTAGGCACGGTGGTGTGTGTCTGTGAGCAGAGCTCTAGGGAGGCTGATGCAGGCGGATTGTGAGTTTCGGGATAGCCTAGCAACCTAGAAAGATACTGCCTCAGAATAAAAACATTAACAATAAGCCCCCCCCCACACACACACAGGTCTGGGCTTACAGATTCTCTAGGCTGTGGGCCCAGGACTTCCTAGCCACAAGGCTACTGCTGCCTGTCAGTCAGGGCAGAAGCTGGTAGCTGTGGCAGTCCTCACATCCCTGGAGTCTCATGATGGCCCCCTCAATCACAGACGTCAAGAGGTCATGTGGACAGCTGATGTCATCTCACGTCCCTATCTCCAGACTGGACACTGTCCCTGTCAGATAGCAAGTGCCTTGGGGACAGACCCTGGGGGCCTTTCTCCTGCATAAGGCCAGCACACAGTAGGCCTGTGGGTCCTGGAACTCCACTGGATGCCTGCCACTCACCAGGCTGAGCTCCCGTGGCTGCAGTAACTGGTGCAGCCCAACCCGGTCCCAACTGGAATGTGGCAAAGATGGCCAAAGGCAGCGTTTAAAAATACTGTGGAGCCTGGGAGGTGGACACTCAGGGCCCAGGCTGACAGGGCCAGTACCCAGCTCAGTTCCATAGCCTCCAGTTGGGATTGGGGAGCATCCTGACTGGGCTAGGCCAGTGCCAAATGCAGAAACAGCAGCGATTGACAGGGCCTAAATGGAATAAAAAGCAGTCATCGGGCCTGGTGCTGGACCTGCCTGCTGTGTCCACACCAAAGATAGCCTAGGGAGCCTGGGCTGAGAGGCCTCCCTGCACTGTATCCTTAGGAGCCAGAGTGTGCCCAGCGCACCAGAGTTGTGGTTAAAAATAACCATGGGGGACAGCAGCCTGCAGCTGGGCTTGGAAGGAGCCAGAGCTGACCCAGCTCCCACGGGGTGCCATGCGCTTCAGAGGCGTGAGCTCATGGGATTGTAATGGCCTTGGGGGGGAGGGGAACTGTCCCGAATAGGGAAACTGAGGTTCAGAAGCAGTGTTGCCTCTGCTCCTGGCCTCCAGTGCTCATCTGTGCCTGTAGGTACGTGAGCACCTAAGGCGATACACAAATGAGTAGGTGAACTAGATCCCTCCTGTTTGAGCTGGCAATACCTGCTGGGGGAAGGTAATCCAAGGGAGGGTGGGAGTGAAAGAGGCTTCTCTCTGAGGCAGGGTGAGGGGTGCAGAGGAGAAAGAGCCTTGCTGAGCAGCGTTTGAGAGATGGGGAGGATGAACCACCAAGTGCAAAGGCCCTGGGGCTAGCTAGATGCTACGCAGAATTTGTGAAGAAGACAGAGGAGAGGTGGTATGGCTGGGACCATGTGCTTAGGAAGGGCGTGAGGCAGGGGCATCAGCCTTTGCATAGGTGGGACCGGTTGGGCACTGTCTCTGCAGAAGATGGGGGCCATGGAGAGCTCAGAGCAAAGTGAGGTAGGGCTTGACCTGGGTTCTGAAGGAAGCCCCCGGTGTATATGAAGAAGGCAACCTTAGGGCTGGAATCAGGCACGGGGGCTCCTGTCACCTGCTGCTGGGTCAAAAAAGTGACAGAAATGAAGAAATCCAGGTGACTCCACAGTCCTGAGGAGTAGCAGGGCAGTTTCTGTCTTGAAAGGCATTTAAGAGCACCTTATCACTAGTGCGGGAAAGGGTGCATGTGTGTGTGTGTGTGTGTGTGTGTGTGAGAGAGAGAGAGAGAGAGAGAGCACTCATATGTATGAATGATGTATGTGTGCAAATGTGTGTGTGCAGATGTATAGGTGTGTGGGTGTGCAGATGTACAGATGTGTGTGTGCAGATGTGCAGATGTGTAGGTGTGTGTGTGCAGATGTGTGTGTGCAGATGTGCAGATGTGTGTGCGCAGATGTGTAGGTGTGTGTGCGCAGATGTACAGATGTGTGTGTTCAAATGCCTGTGTGCATTTGATATTTGTGCACATGCTCCATGGCTCTCCTGTGGATCACAGGACAACTCTGAGGAATCCTTCCACTGTGTACATTCCTGGGACTGAACTCAGTCTGTCCGGCTTATGTGGCAAGCACATTAACTCACTGAGCTATCTTGCCAGCCTAGGATCCTTCATCTTGCCAAACTGCCTGAGTAGAGGGGGTGCCCAGCAGTCTTTGCCCGCCTCCCAGGATCTGTACAGCCACGGTCACCCTGTGGGCCTCACTTCCTGACACTCCCTCCAGGTTTAGATCCAGAACTCCCCAACCCCCATCCCACCCCTGGCCTCATAAATGTCCCTTGTAAATGTGTCATTCTGTGACACAGCCAGAAATCCCTTCTTAGTTCCTGGATAGCAGTGCGCTTGTCCATAGCCCTTGCAGCAGCAACTGGGGGGACCCTGGTCCTTGATACTCATGGAGTCATAATTGCCTTAATTTAGAAAAAGCGGCACTAGAGAGAAAGATGCCATGAGACAGAGCTCAGGAGTGTGTGTGTGGGGGGGGGGGGGTGTTGGGCAAAAGTGAATGGGAAAAGGGGAAAAGGAAGAGGGGAGACCGGCCTCTGAGGACAGGAGTGGCAGAAGAGAAGAGAGAGACAGAGAGAAGGGGAGAGATGGGAGGTGGGTAGAAAGGGAACATAGTGAATGTGCACCAGAGGTGCTTTTAGTGGCCACAGCTGAGGACATATGCCCCAAGGTCAGGCCAGGACAGACGCCTGAATACTAACAATGATCACACCGGCAAGTGGTGATTGTACGTGTAACCCACCCACCGAGGAACAAAGGGACAATGGCATGGTGACCTGTCTAGGACTGTGTATTATAAAGGTGACCTAGATTTGTCCTTCAAGCTCCTAACCCCACACTGACTGGGATGGGCCCCTACTGGCCTTGCAGAGCCTGGGTGGGCTTGGGGGTCCTGGATGGGAGGGGGCATCCTCCTTTCCCCAGTCACTCTGAACTCTGAGCATCCTCCCAGACCTGGCCCTTGAGTTCTGTACAGCACCTAGGTGAACACTCTGATTCTGCAGATGGGAATCAAAACTCAGGGTGGGGGAGAAGATTGCATGCTTATTGTCACGTAGCATGTGGGTTCGGTGTTCCAGAACCCTCCTGCAGGTCCTCTCCGTGCTTTTTGAATTGGCTGTGTTCTACTCTCCACAAGAGAATGGATGAGTAGATCACTAAAGAGATCATCGGTGATGTTGGGGGCCCTCAAGGCAAGAGCCATGTGGCCTTTTCTTCCAGCTGCCTGGCCCGAGGACAGAAAGACCAGGGAGAGGCAGGGACCATGATCAAAAGTTTATAAAGGCCTGGGCTGATTGCCGTAGGGGGATACTGGAAGATAAGGTCAGCCTTAAGGAGAAAGTGTGGATGGCCCCCTTCTCTCCCTGGGCCTCAGTTACCCCTCCAAGAAAGCTGTCGTAAGATGGGGGACTCGTTCTCTCTGCCCAGTTCACTTCTAGGCCACAGTCACCTTCAAGCATGGAAAAAGAGTGACACTCAGTAAGGGGACCAGTCCTCACCAAGGTCATAGCCAGGAGGAATGGAGTGGTGGGTGGCCCCGAGTTCTCCCACCCCCTGGGCTGGTCCATCTCAGCTACTAATAGCCCAGGCTTGTATTTCATTGGTCACTTCCTGTGTGCTGGAATGATTCAAGCGAATGCAAGCATTAGACCTCATTAATCTTTACCCAAGTTTAGGCGGCGGCAGTGGGGGGAGGGGGGCACACCTCCCTCCCTCTCAGACCAAGAGGCAGAGATCATGAACAAGGCCACGGAGGAGCCAGAGGTCTGCAAAGCCACCCCCACCTCTGGTAGAGTGGCTGAATCTCTGGTTTTAAATCACAATACACACAGTCAGGCATTCAGTAAGCGCTTGCTGGTTGGTGAGAGCGCGGAGAAACCTCTGGAGATAGGCAGGGTTTTCCTGTTCTGGCCACAGTGGGCAGTCCCGTCCCACGGGCTTCCTTCCATTCCTCCCTCTGTTGCCCCCTCGCCTCTCCTGGGAAGATTTAACGGAGCAGAGGGCGGAGGGCCAGAGCAGTGGCCGGGGCAAGGCCCCGCCAGGGTGTCAGGTTTCCTGGTCAGCCACCTTCGCCCCTGACCAGTCCTGTCTTTTCCAAAACAGAACATTCAGTTACTGCCTGTCCCTGGGCTCTGCTGCCCTTGTGCCCTGACCTCGCTTCCTGCCTGCTGCCCTGGGTTTTCCCAGTACCTTGTTGCTTGCTGCCATCTTACTAGAGAATGGAGTAGAAAACAAGGGAAAGGAACAAGAGGCTCCCACGGAGAGATGGGAGCTGCTGACAGAGAAAGATAGAGGCCAGGAGACAGAAGGAGAGGGACAGAAAATGAGAGAGCAGCCCATCATACCCCCTTCACCCCTAAACTTACTCTGTGGCCTTGTTTCCTTCAGCCCTCCCTTTTCTCCAAGGCTACGGCCTTCCCTCCCACCACCACCCTTGCCTGTGTCCTGATCTCAACCCAGGGCACTTAATTAACCAGCTCCTGACTATTCATTCCTCCTCCTCCAGGAAGCCCTCCCTGTCTTCTAGAGGCTGCACTCTCCTCTCAGAGCCTCTATGGCTCCATCTCCTCTCCTGTGCGTCCAGCTCTGAGGGGGAGACACCATAGCACTACGCTTACCCAACACCTTCCCTGGAACACAGGAGGCCCTCAGTCAATGTTAGAGTTCGCCGCCAACTGCGTTCCAAGATCAAGGGACTGTGTAAGTTAGGGTCTGTATCCCCTCTGGTACCAGGAAGGCATGATCAGTTTGTTGTGTCCCCGTTCCCTCAGCGACTGGCAGAGCAGGCACTGAAACATTGCCACAAGGAATGAATGAATGAATGAGTGGGTGAATAAATGAATGAACACGGACACCCACGACCATCTGCAGAATCCGAGTTATATTTTCACCCATCGACATCAGGTTCAAGTGCTCGCTGTTGTCCTTCAGGTCTGAGCCCAGGCCCCTGCCAGAGCCCATGCTGTGCCGGGTGTCCTCAGCCAGGGTCATAAGTCATGTCACTGAGCTGTTTTCATGGTTAGCAGCACTGTCAAGACAAACGGAACATAGTCACATAAACAACCTCAGTGTCACCAGTGGACCTTGATCACTGTGGGACAGTCTCCAAGGCTGACGGGCAACTGCCCAGGCCTTGTTCTGGGTTCTGGTCTCGCTGCTCCGTCCCCTCCTCCCCAGGACTGGTAGGACAAAAGGGTTCCCTGGACCAGGACTGTCTGGTTCTGCAGAAGTGGAGAAAGGGGCCTAGGGACACTGGGGGGAGGGGGGAGATGCAGAACAGACTTAGCTCATCACTTAGCAGAAGCTTCCTTGATGAGTCTGCTGCTGTGCTCAGGACTGGGCAGCTGGGACTGTCCCTCCATGGCCACAGAGTCAGTTAAGGAGTCCAGTAAGATGACACCTGATGAGCTCTCCATACCCAGAAGCTGCTCGGCGTCTTCATGGCCAACCTCTGCGGCCGAAACCAATCTCACTATGCTTTCACAGAGCTCACTGAGCCTGTCACACAGCAGAGGAGGTGAGATTTCATCCGAGCTCGGTGTAAACCCAGAATCTGGGGTTCAGGGAGTCTGGCCCCCTGTGACTGGCTGTTTTGGGAAGCAAGTGAGGTTGCTGGGGAATGGCGAGCAGGCTCCAGTTGGCTCTAGGCCTCTCTCTTCACCTCTGACCCCGAGATGGTAACAGCACTGTCACCAAGTGAGTGGACCCATGCAGGCCCCCAGTGTAGTACACCATGTGGCCAGACTTCCTCCAGCTCTCTGGTGCAGACAGACACTGTCCCTGTCTTCTGACACCGGGCTGCAGTGGAAAGGGGACACGGCCACAGACCAAGGTCTGTGTCAGGTTGTAGGGGCGAGATGAGAGGAGAAGTGGAACCGTGAGGGAAAGCCCAAAGGCGTCCTCAGACACGGATGTCCAATACCACCTCAGTGATGAGGGCAATGCGTCTGGATGCCCAGCACGTGTGTCTGAGCAGACTCTGACTCGCGGGGTCCTGATCCACAGGGGTGCCTAACCAGCCACTCATTAGCTTCCCCGGGTCACCCAGTCTGGACCAGTTCAGCTTCCAGACATGGCTGAAGGTCCCTGAGGACAAATCAGCCCAGGCTCAGTCGTTGGGTTTAAAGCTCACTCTGTGCCGGGCACAGATGCTGTAACTGGCATGAACCACCCTCACCATCATCAGCCCTGGGAAGGTGGGCTTTTCCGGAGACTGCCGCACAGACACCAGTCCACAGGAGCGGCAGGGTTTGCAGAATGAGGAGACCTGTGATGAGTCTCAGTGCCTTCTGCAGCCTTATCCCGAGGTCTGTGACTGGAGAGAGCTCCATGTCTTCCTGTCCCACGTGACTGTCCCAGCTCACTGCAGGGCAGAGCTCTCCTCGCCAACGGAACCGCATCTAAGTGGACACATCGTCTCCTGCATTTCTTCCTCCCTCCTTCCCTCCTTCCCTTCCTCCCCTTCATCCCCCAACTCCCCCCCCCCCCAACGCACGCACCCATCTCTCTTCCTTTCTTTTTGAGACAGGGAGTTCTTTCCTTTGGGAAATTAGGTTTACCCAAATTGTGAAAAATCTGTAAGATCTGTAAAATTACCAAAGAATAAACTATAAATCTTTAAAAGAAGGTTTGTAAAATTAAGAGCAGAAAGAGAGAAAAAAATTATTGTGTCACCTCAAAGACCAGTTTTACCTCTGATCATTTTCTCCATTTTGAATTTTTAAAACTTTAAAAGTTTCTCTTATGTGTTTGGGTGCTTTGCTTGCATGTGTGTCTGTACACTGCATGAGAACCTCATTTCTGAAGAGGGTGATGTCTAATCCCCTATAACTGGAGTTACAGAAGGTTAGGAGCTGCCATGAGGGTGCTGGGAAGTGATCCTGAGTCCTCTAGAAGAGCAGCCAGTGCTCTTACCTATTGAGCCATCTCTCCAGACCCCATTTTAAAATTTTCTTAGAAAGTTATAACCATATTTATATGAATCCCCAAGTCCTTTTGTTCCCTAGACTATAAAGTAATGCCATGGGACTAGAATTTGTAGTTTTTCAATTGTCACTGCTTCTGTCAAGACCCCTGCTGCCCCTCCCTGCTGCTCTGGTCTCCCTCTTTCTTCACAATAGAAATCCCAAACTTTTGCTAGCTAATGGGACAGTCCAGAAAAACTACACTTCCCAGCCTCCCTTGCAGCTATGTGTGACCATGTGACTGTGTTCTGGCCAATAGAATATGAGTAACCACCAAGTCCTGCCCTTTCAAAGGAGGCGTCTCTTCTTTTCCACCTCCTTCTGGCTGTCTGGAGTGCAGATGTGATGGCTAGAATCTGTGTGGCTATCTTGGGCCAAGGAGGAGCCTTAGAGGAAAAGGGCCGTCAGTCCCTGATGAACTGACGAAGCCATTCTGCCAGCCGCCCCACCCCCCACATACCACTTCTCTTTATGTAAGGGAGCAGCAGTGTTTGCAAAACCTGACTTCTGGTTATTTGGGGTCTTCTGAGAATGAGTGGTGGCCTGAATCTAAGTGTTTTGCTGTTACTTTTGGGAAGATTCATCTTTAACACAACAGTTGCCTGTGTGAGGTGTGCAGGTAGCTCTAATTGAAGCCCTGTGTGCTCATCATCTCTGTTAGCGATTACATCCTCTGGTAGCCTGAGGATGCAAACATCTCAAAGCTGTCCATGCCTGTCCCCCAACTCACCCACAGCCGTTCACCTTGCACCCAAGCTCCCCAGCACAGATGAAGCTGAGACAGGGATTCTCATACTCAGAATAATCATCTCCTGGGCCGAAGTGAGCTGTCACAGCCGTCCATTTCTCAGCAGTTCCTGAATATAGGATCCCCCATGGGCAGTCACTGCCCACGAAGGCCCAGTGTCTGTCAGCACTCGGAGGCAATAGAAGCCACCACCCTAACCTGAGGACCCTCAGCTACCAGGTCGGGTTCAGAGGAGGCCTCTCCATGAATATCTCCGTCCACGGGGCACAGGGTCCTGTCTTCTGCTCTTGTTATTGTCCAAGCAGGAGAGAATAGGACCTAAGCAGGGATGCTGGGTCGCTCCTTCCGGAGGCTGAGATCTCAGAGAAGCTATAAGTTCTAGGAACCCCAAGCAGGGGAGGGAGAGGCCAGGCTGGCCCTGGTGACAGCGCCGGGCACGGGGAGCTTGACTCTGAGGAAGTTCTCACGGTCCTGACAACTGGTCAGACCACTTGCAGAAGAGACTGGAGCCAAACAATGGCAGTCAGAGAGGGCAGACAGGGATGTGGCTGAGCCGGGAGGCCCAGCACCACTGAAGGGGTCTGCCTATCATCCTAGCACCAAAGAGGAAAATCGGAAGTTGAAGGTTGTCCTCAGCTGCAGACCAAGAATGAGGCCAGCCAAAATCACAGGAGACTCTGTCTTATAAGAAAAAAGAAGATGGGCAGGACCACACCTGACTGGAACCGCTTAGCTACGCACACCCCTTTCCCTCTATTAAACCGAAACCTCATGTTGGGACCCCAGAGAGGATTTGGGGGTCACAGGGCCTCTTTATCTGTTGCTCTTCCCAATGTGGCCATATTGAATATATCTGCTTTTGCTGATTCTCGCTATGACTCTCTCTGTAATCGTCCCATTAAGGCAGGTAGTGGGCCTGGCATGTCACGGCCTCCAGGCATTGAACCTTCCACATCCCCCTGGAATTGGGTGGCCTCCCCTAGGCCTCTCTGCCACCCTCCCATAGCTGGGGTTTCTGGTGAGGACTCACAGCCGGCAAAGCCTTTCAGCAACTGTACCTGCGCCACAAGGGAAGCTGGGAAAGTGAGTCTTCTGGCATCTCTCAGGGTAGGGGAAACTCCCTTAGTGTGGGCCAGGTGCTGGAGGCCAGGAAGTGGGGCAAAGGTCAGTTCTCCAGGTAAAGGCCTGACTGGGCCTGCAGAGGAATGCAGGAAGGTTCTATCACCTTCCAACACCTTCCCATACCTGAACCCCCAGGATCACCTCCGCTTCACTGTAGTCAGACAGCACACAGAGGGGTGACGTGTCTGCATCACCCTCATGGTTCACCCAGCTCTGCAAGGCTAAGGGAGAGCCAGGGCCTGGACCAGGAAGCAGCCTTCAGTTACTGGGAGCCCTGGCCCACATGGGCGCCCAGGAGCTAGAGTGGGCAGATAGACCATTTCCCTCCTGAAACACAGTTGTATCTTCCTCAAGGCTCCAGGGTCGGCTTCGTCAAGAAAAGAGCAGGACACAAAGAAAGTCCCCAGCTGGGTGGTGATGGCACACATCTTTAATCCCAGCACTCGGGAGGCAGAGGCAGGGGATCTCTGTGAGTTCGAGGCCAGCCTGATAGAAAGGCCCCAAATACTAACTTTACTACAGCATCCCATGCTATGAGGGCAGCAGAAAGCAACATCTACAAAGAAATAGAAGCTGCAGAGCTGATGCCAAGATGCCCGTTCGGAACAGTGGCCAGTAAATCCTCTCTGAGGAGGTAAAGACCTAGAGAAGGGAAGGCTGTAGGCCCGCAGATCCCCAGTGGAAGCAGGCTCCAGGCAGATGGGTCAGTCAGTGCAAAGGCCCTGGGGTAAGAACAGGTGTAACACCCGCCATCCTTGACAGAGTTATACCCAGGCTTGGGACTCCAGTGAACCAGGATGGGGGCGGGGAGGCTCTTTACTCGAGCTTCTGTGGAAAAACATGATGTCAAGGCTGACAATAAATCCTGATGTCCCACGGAACAATGGGCGGTCGAACCGGGGGAAACTGTCAAGCTGAAAGTCAACTGGCCGGAGGGCTGGGGTTCAGAAGATCATAAGGAATTTATTAACAACCATGTTTGAAAAAGTGCTTCCCAGTGAGGGGCAGAAGAGGCTTCTGGCTGACTTCAAAGAGATGTTTATTGTGGTGTCCCCAGCGTAGGCATCAGAATGGGAAGCTACAGGCAGCTCACTGGGCAGAAAGATGCGCCCACAACAGGCCACGGAGAGTCGTAGGTCGGGGGTATCTTTAGAAAACCTACCCATTCGTCCATTCCTTTCTCCAGAAAATATTCAAATATGGACCTCTGATGTGTCCATGGGGAGAGCCATGGTCGTCCCTGCCTCCCCGTGACCACAACAACTGCACCAAGCACAAACGTCAAGGGCTGGTGCCAGAACAGATCTCTTCTTCCGGTGAGGGAAAAGGTGTGCAGGATGCGCTTCGGCGTGTAGAAGGAGAGGAAGAGGACAGCTGAGCTGTATTCTTCATGTGTCTCTTGGTTTTATTCTTTCTGTTAGATGGAGGAATTCAGAAACGGCCATAAAATGGGGTCAGGCCCTGGAGATCACGTGTCTGACGATGATGCAGAAGCCGGGAAAGAGCCTGAGAATTGTTCACTGGCGAGGAGGACACAGAGTCTGGGGCAGGAGGAGACTCGGTTCTCACAGGACAGCCTTCAGACCCCGTGACAGGTTCAAACCACACCACCAGGCAAAGGCGTTTAGGAAACACTGTAGGCAGCCAGGTTCTGCTTTCATGAGAAAAACAGATGAAAGTCAGGGGAAATATCTCATAGAAAATGATAACTGGGGGCAGAGTACATGGCTCAGTGGGTCACAGCCCTTGCTGAACTCAAGGACCTGAGTTCAAATCTCCAGAACCTATGTTAAACAAAAAGCATGGTCCGCCTCTAACCTTGGCATTGTGCGATGTAGGAGACAGGAAGATCCCTGGCACTTGCTGGCCACTAACCTAACTCCGGGTGCAGCGAGAGACCCTACTTCAAAGGGAACAAAGTGGAGTGTGAGGGAACAGGATACCCAAGGTCCTTTTCTGGTCTCTGTGCAGGTGTGCACAGGTAAATCCACACACAGATGTTCACATACAACACAAATGCATACACACAAATATCTGCCCATACATATATACATACATATACACATACATATACACTGAACATCCACACTCACACATATACACGTGTGCACACACATGTACATACACACATATATACACACTCAAACATGCAAACACTCACATGTGTACCCACAATACACAAACACTCACACATGCATGGACACACATACATATACACATTCACATATACCCACCATACACAAACACACATACACGTACAGACATACATACTACACACATACATAAACACATTCACATATATCCACAACACACAAGCACTCACACATGCATACACACATACATACACACATTCACACGTACAAACAATACACAAACACACATGCACGCATGCATATGCACGTGCACACACACGCACACATTACTAAGCCACATTTCCATGAAAACCAGGGAGTGTGCTTCTCAGTTGCCCTGTTTGTCTTCTGAGACCTGTTTGTTTGTCTCGTGCTTCAAATAAGGATGTGAGAGAGAAAGGGAGTCTGCAACATAGGGGCTGGCTGAGCACCCCGAGACCTGGGCCCTTTGAAGAACACGGCCCTGCCCATCCTCCAACGGCGTGCTCCCTTGTGCTCGCCCTGACAGATTTGGGAAAGAAGGCACTGGTTGGGTTTGACCCCAGTCTGCACCTGATGAAGCCTGGGGTCCCTCAGTGGAACCACAGCTGCCCTGGGAACAAACAAGGACTTAAGAAACAGTGCCTTTGAGAAGCTTCTGTCTGGGGGCAGAGAGACAGCTCAGCAGTAAAAGTGCTTCTTGTTCCTCCAGAGGACTGGAGTCCAGTTCCCAGAGTCCAGGTCAGGGAGACTCACAATTGCCTACACCTCCATTCTGAGAGACTCAACTCCCTCTTCTGGGCTCCCCAGGCCTCTGTGCACACATGCACACACACACAGAGGCTCGGGAGGGTTTCCCACTCAGCAGGACCCTATTTCAAGTCTGAAAAGAGGCCCCTTCTCTCTGGGCCCCCTGCATGCACAAATGTCAAATGACCCCCTGAGTTTTGTCACTATGGATTCAGCCTGCCCTGATTCTTCTGGAGGAGCAAGGCTTAAACAGGGAGGGCTTTGAACCCCTGCTCGCCAGGCCTTCAGGACCTGCAGGACACTTGGTGAGCTACCTCACTCTGCAGGAACCTTGCCAGTTTCATTTCACATAGAACGGAGGCTCAGAGAGGCTGTGTGACTTATCCAGTGCCACACAGCCGGGACTAGACGCTGTGTAGTCTACGTGGTGGGCCTGGCAGCAGCAGGAGCTGCGGGTTCACGGAAGAGGAAGGAAAGCCAGCAGCCTGTAGCCTGCAGCTCCACATACAGGCAAGGCAGCTGTTAAACACTGTCCCGTCAGGGCTGGCAGGGGCTGAGGTGGAGGATCAGCAGGCGGCCACTGCTGGGGGACCGGGAAACTGAGCTCCTCCGCCTGCCCAGCAGCGTCCTTCCGTGGACGCCCGCCAGGCCCTGTCTGACGTCAGGCTCTGACCAGGGACATAATGTGCTGGCATGGGGACAAAGACTGAGTGCAGAGGCAGGCGAGGTGGGGCCATCCAGGGAGCCAGCAAGGAGGCGGGGGCAGAGAAGAGACAGGCTGAGAGGGACATGGAGAGAGCTGGGGAGAGCAGAGAGGGTGTGGGTGATGGGGTGTAGGGGGCGGGGGAGACAGCAAAAGAACCAGATTGAGACCATGAACAATATAGCATAGAAAGCCACGGGGCACAGAGAGGGAGGATGGGGCCAAGTGAGGGATTCCAGTCCTCATACGCTGTGTCCCTGTGACCCATGGCTCACCTCTGAGAGTCTTGCCCAGGCCTGGGGATGACAGTGTCACGGCATCTCACATCTGGACAGAGGACAGAGCCCCTGTCATGATGGGGAGGGGGCACCATGGAAAAGGTTTTGGCAGGGCCCTGCATACAGCAGTTGCTCAATGAAGTACACACTGTGGGGGTAAAGGGACATGACAGTGGCCCCTTGGGGAATGAGGTGCCTTCCATAGCTCTGTTTCCCCGCAGTGGGGGCCTCTTCTGACCATGTGACTTCAGCATGAGGCCATGGAGCAGACCTTGGCCTGTCTGGCCCGTCTTGGGGGCATACAACCCCCTGCTTCTGGACTCAAGAAGGCCACAATCTCAGGGCCACCACGTCACCAAAGACAGGCAAGGCCAGGACTGGTCACTTCTGGCCTTCTAACCATGTCACCGCTTATAGAGCTGAATTATTAAATTCAGCAGGACTGGGGGGCCAAACTGTCCTCTGGGGGTGCAGGACACCCAGGGCTCCCAGCAGCACTTGCAAAGGACACTCTCTGCTGCCTTCACACTGCCCCAGAAGCCCCTGCTGCCTCCTCTTCCTCCTCCTCCTCCCTCCCCTCCTCCTCCTCAGAATGCCCATTTATTGAGTACCTGTGCTAAACTGAATGAGCTGCTAGCCTGCAATTTCTCTGACTAAGCTGCAGTCAGCTGCCCCGGGGGGAAGCAGGGCCAGTGTCCCCTGAACAGATGATAGCTCTGCTTCCCAAACAGCCCGAGTGCTGGCCGTGTCCTGCCATGTACCGTGATGACATTACCACACACTGCAGGGTTGTCGGGGTTGATCTTACCCGCCCCCATACCTTCGGCGTCTCTGGGAACAGTTTGGGGTGTCTCCACTGTGAAGATGTTCTGGTGACACAAGGGAACCTACCGTGTGACACGTAACACCCTACACACAGGATGCCCACCACCGAGTCCCTTTCAGCTCCCAGCACTGGCATGCCAAGGTTGAGAACTCAGCTGGGAAGTGAATTCCATGACAACGTTGTAATGGATTCTGTGGAGGCTCAGGCACAAGAAGAGAGTGCCACTTGCCCAAGAGACCCTGTCTATGCCCAGCTCCCAGCTTTTCACCACAAGGCCCCATTGCCTAGTCTATGGCAA